AACCATAGCCAAAACCCAAAATCTGTTTCCTATCTTTATCCAAAAAAGTTTGGGTCATTGAATTCTTCTTCCAAATTTAATCTCGTGTCTTGTTGAGAAGACTCTGCATCCAAGACAAAAAAGTTCTAATGGCACGTATCTAAAGATTTCTCCATTTCTTAGTTGCTCGTTCAAAACAAGTGTGATGTGGGTTTTGACAGTATCACCTTCTAGTTTCTTTTGCTGGGACCATGCCTTGTATATATTACCAAAATTTGAATTTTGAAATTTCTTTTCAAAGATGAAGCAAAACTATCTATATGCAGCATTCTGTTCGCTGCCTGAAGCAAAACATCGCCACTTATGAGCCAAAATCTTGGCGAGCTATGGCCACCCAAACCACTGGACATTGGTACCGGTGGAAAGGCCTTGTTCTCCTCTTTAATTCCATACTAAGAACTCCCCATAACTCCTAGTATTCCGATCGGTACAAGTCTCCAAAGTTCGCTGCCTGAAAAACGTATATATGTCGGAATCTCTTCGTCCGGCGACCAAAACGGTCGGAACTCACCACTGGCCACCTCCCCACCCTTGGACGACCCCACCCATGCCACCAATTTGAACCAAAACACAAGCAAACAACTGCATAAAATCCTGTAGTTCTTCCTGTTGCAACGGGCTCGACAGTCTTAGAAAAGTAGCATTTTCGGCGCCGTCCGAACAAAATCCGGTGGCGGACCATCTGGGCTAGGTGCGCCTCCAGCTGGCACACCTTGCCCAGCCATAGGTCTTGGCCGATCGCACCCAGGACTGGATAAATTTCTGGCTGAAGCGATGAATTTGTGCAGGAAATTTGGAACGAACCCATTTGATGAATGGAGAGATTTTATTTATTTTTTCATTTTTAAAGTTTTAATAAGACTTTTGGACTGTTTTGTACATTTTTAAAAAGTTTGGGAGTATGACTGTAATTTGTTCTTTATTTTTATTTTTATTTTATTTAAATATGAGGGTATATTGGTCATTTTACGGTAAAATTTTGTGAAAATGACGTTTAGCTCAAAAAATGTGAAAGGATAATTTGTTCTTTATTTTTATTTAAATATGAGGGTATATTGGTCATTTTACAATAAAATTTGGTGAAAAGGACGTTCAGCGCAAGAAAAGTGAAAGGTAGGGACATTTTGCACCAAGAAATGAAAGGTATGGATGTTTTCCACAGAGATAGGCAAAGGTAGAGACGTTTTGCGCCAATTACCCTTATTTTTAATTAGGGTACTTTGGTATGTTTAGACGTTTATGTTGGAAAATTTGTAAATATTCTATTTTTTTTCCTGCAAAATGTATTTTCTTTAAGTAAAATATGCAAAATGTAATTATTTTTAATGGAGGGTGTGAATAATTTATACTTCATTTTTAACATATTTTTTTTGTCAAGTCTGAAGTTATAAGTTGCCTTCCATATTTTTAAACTATTTTTATACATTTTAAACATTATCGAAATAATCTTCTATCAAAATATAATGGGAATGAATTTCCGAAACTTTCACTTTAGCTTATTATTATTTGAAAATTTCAATGATTCCTGTTTGTTTCGAATTAAAATCAGATTTTAATTTAAGTTAAAGTCAAATAATCAATATTAACCAATTTTTCATGGGTCCCACAGCTTTTAAACCACACATTTCCAAAATTTCTATCACAATTTACTAAAAATCTAATTTTAGTCCCCACCAAACACCTATTATATGGAAAAAAAACTATCTGTTATTTGTAATTCTACAAATGATGAAGCATTTCAAGAAAATTCTACATGTTCATTGGTGGTTTAACAACTCCTAGTTTAAAACCTAACAATAACATGAAGCTTGGTTTCATTAAATATTATCAGACATTATTAGCAAGAAATAAGGTTGAACAAACAAAGACAATTGCCATGCATGTTCAGTTTTTTCAAAGAACTGATGACGCTCGTAAACCTAACTGAAACCTATTTCCACCAACATTTATATTGTTGGCCGACACAATTTAAATAAAGTCATTTATTTATTTAAATACATTATTTTTATACGAGATAATTCAACATAACATTAGAGGACGTAACAATTCCCGAATTCTAGTAATCTACGTACCATTAATTAATTAAATTATATACGTGTAAAGTTTGTGATAAAAAATGAACTCAACACGCATACGTGTGGGGACATATTTTAGACACAATTTATACAAGTCTTGAATTTGAGACTAATCGACATCCAAATACTAAAATCGTTCAAGTCAAATCTTCGATTTAAAAAGGAATATGACTTGTACGTAAGGAACGTTTTGTAGACAAAATGAATCCGACATGTGAAAATGAATTCAGTACATGTTTGGCTTAGTTGAAAAAATTGATAATAATTTAAGTCAAAGTCAGTAATTTTTAAAAATTTTTCAATCACAAAGTTCATCAACTTTGATCAAAATCTAACTTTTAACATAATCAAACACGGACTCAACTTGCTGCCAACTTTCTCTATAAATGGGGCAAATCCTCTTCATTTTCCAATCATCAAACTCTCAACCTTCTCTTCTCTCCCAAACTACTTCCAAAAAACCCTACATTTCATTCTTCAAATAATCATGGCTGGATCCATTTACACTTGCATGTTCATTCTTTTTGCCATTTCCATTAGCACAGAAAAATGCAATGCTGCACGTCATCTCCTGCAGTCAAATATTCCAGGTCTGCCTACAATTCCATCACTGCCAATCCCCACAATGCCAAATCTTCCTAACCCTGCAGTTCTGCCTCCTATGCCTTCCCTTCCAATTCAACCTACTCTTCCAACAATTCCAGGCATGCCTAAAGTTTCTCTCCCTCCAATGCCTACAATTCCCACATTGCCAAACATTCCTTCTATTGGAAACATCCCGTTCTTGTCTCCACCACCATCCAAGTAGAGAGAAAAAAGAGTTATGCATGGTTGTTGGAATGGGGATTTGTAGCTTTATTGTGATTTTCGTGTGTTCGATTTCATTAAGGTCTTATTTTTAGTCACGGTCTAGATTTAAGTTGGTTTGATTTAGTGAGATCGAATGTGAAAGTCATCGAATAAGTTTTTTTTTGGTTTGATATGAGGCCATATGCTATGTGTTGCATAATGTTATTTGATATTTCAATGTTTTCAATACTATGATGTACGTTCGCCACCTTCACACTTTATTGTATGAAATTGAAGCTTCGGAAATGAAACTATTGATAATTAATTATATTTAAATTCTTATTTATTTTTCATGAATTTGTATTCCAAAACTCCAACTCGTAAAATACATTGGGAAAAAAAAAAATGGTTTATGTCAATACATTGGCTGCTCTTTAGATGGAAATATCCTAAACTGAAAAATATGAAAAATAAAATAAAATAAAATTGTCAAACTTTTTATCGATGAAATTATGGAATGTACATTATTATATCCATTAACACAAGAACAATAATCTAAAATGGGTAATTATATTCGCACAATTGCTTTTATTTGTTGCACAACATTCTAATTGTACTTTAAGGTCATAAATCTTTTTTTCATCGTAGCACTATATATCGAACTTTCTTTCGTCGTGTTCTTATCATCAATCGTACATTAATTAACATATGCCGTCTTTAACAATGATTTCCATCCAAAAAGTCCGTTGAAAGGGAATTAAATGACTTATTTGTCCATTATTCTTCAAAAATAATCAACACAAAAATACGATACATTTTTTTCTCATTTTAAAGGACACGAACGGAATTTCTAAAATAGAAAATTAATATTAAGTACAGTGACGAACGCAAATATTTTGAGTTAGTTGGTAAAATAAAACTTGTAAAAAAGTTTTGAGAAATTTTACATTTGAAAACTTACATCCAAAAAAAGTCATGCCCCATGTAAATAATTTACATTTGAATTTTACATCTGAAAATTTACATGGGGTTCAGATTTAAAATTTCAAAAAATTGAGACATCATACCCTATGTAAAATTTCCTAATAAAATGATAAAAATTATATTGAGAAATTATTTGCTCAAAAATAATTAACATTAATGAAATTTTTTTAAAGAAAAGACAAGTTAGATGCTTCCTTTTAACACATACGTTTGACACACCTTTAACTATTTTCAATATCCGTTTAGATCATTCAATATTTCTAGATGTAGTTCTCGAAACGAGTTTCGAGATAACGTGGGTGATTTATAGATTCGACTAGCATGCGATTGTTGGATAATTTTTAAAGTTAACATGCTATTGAAATTCTCGAAATGTTAGTTTGAAATGACCTATTTTGTGGAGTCGTAATTTTTGCTACAATTAGTGACCGTTTCACGAGCCGTTAATTCTATGAAAAATTAGACCTTGCATTTTGAAATGGTATTAAGAATGCAATATTTCAACTTCATTTGACATCTCGTAATGAACCCGATTTTTTTTTCCAAAAGTTGGGAGTCATGTGACCCATGCCACATCGTGTGTCTGCCAATGATGACAAGGTGTGTTAATGAACGAGAGGTTGAAAATAAGAATTCGATAGGAATATAAATACTATAATAAAAAAAATATTGGAGATTTTACGTGTAATTAAAATATGACACAACCGATAAATGTGACATAGTGTCCCGATTTTATTTTGCTAAAAATCAGATATGGATCTTGATAAGAATAAATTATATGTGTAATTGAAAAATTGTTAAAAATTATGAGTCTCATGTGATATACGGTCAATTTTAATTTTAAATTTTAGTTAAACCAAACATGAGCATTATTTTAAAGACGAAAAAGTAATTCGAAAAATGAAAAGAGGAAAAGAAGGTTTATGTATCTAGAGCCAAAACTCCTGGATAGTAGTCGTGATTCCATTTATTCCACACGATTTATTGGAGGCGTGAGTGAGAAAACGGGTCGAGAGGCGAGCCGCCGGGTTCATCTGGGAGAAGATACTAAAAACGGGAAACTCCAGATCGCCGCGAAGAGGCCTCCGGTGGCGGCGGGAAAGGAGTTACAGTATGGACCTCGGCGGAGAGTGTAAATACTCTTGCAAGACAGCTGGTGAAACACTTGACTGGATTCATGCAATCCTAAACTTCCTCAAGCCTTATCGATTCTTCTTAGATGCTCACGTCGTCAATTTCTTCAAGGTAATCCGGCTCATTCAACTCTCTACAGTCTATATTACATTACTAAGACTCATAGTGTCTGTCTGCATAACAATGCGTAAAAAAAAATTGATTGATTCTGACAGGAGAGGCTATGGGAAGCTGTTGATAAAGAGTGGATGGATTGTCTGCGAAAAGAGCCTGTAGGTGATCTTTTACGGATTCCTTCTGGTGTGATCCAGGTACTTTCAGTTTACTGTTTGTTAATTTTGATGTTCTTATTTTGTCATTTGGGGCTGCGTGTTAGCTGAAATATAGTCTTTTGCGCTACAATTAACTGGAGGCTCTCTTTGAGAACTTGGTTAAGGAATAGTTTCTAACTTATTGACAAGAAAGTAATTGAGCACACAGGATAATCATAACTAGATTATTGCATAAAGAGCCAATTTTAGTAAGTCGCAAAAGGTTCACTATCAAATGGTTTTTGGAAGGATTGATCAGCATGTCCATTATTGGAAGAACCATCATGTTGCAATTCTGAAGTTTAAATATGTCCAAATAGCAAATCGCCAATCGGTAATGCATTAGGCAGATCATTTTACCTATTTATGTTTTAGAGTTAACTTAATATCAGTTACACGTGGATTCTGGTGTGAGATTCTAACATGGTCTGTGGTGCAGTAATTAAAACTGAAATATTGTGAAAAATAGCTTATGAAGGTGTCAAGAAAAGTAGAAGGCAACAAAGCGTTATGAAATTTCTACCTCCAGTTTGTCAGCATTTTCATTTTCTCTCGACTATATTTAGAACCAAACACAGGATAATGTTTTCTCACTTAAATGAAGGTGCCGTGCGAAGGCATCCCAAAGAAAATGAGAAAACCAAGACTCATATTGTTTTATTATTAAGGAAAACAAAAGGAAATAGCAGAAAGAAACATAATATATTCAAATGCACTAAATGATTTTTGGCTTGCCTTTGAGGTTGTCTTCTTTCACTCATGGTCTGTTAACACTTTTTTTTATTGTTCATGATGCCAGGATCATTGGCCTGCTTCTCTTAAAGAATTTGTCTTTACGTTGAGGTCCCTTTCTCTTCCTCGTGAGCAAGCAGATCTGCAGAAGGTAAACATTTGTCAGTTCTATTATTGATATTCTCTATAGTAGTATATTTTAATAAATCTTTCCTGGTTAATTTGTTGGCGACTGCTATGTATTGATTTCTGTTGAACAGGTAGGTGTCCAAATACTCATAATTCTTATATATTCCTGGTTGGCTTTCTTTCTTTAGTCTGCATATACTTGCATTTGAAAAAGACATCTATAAGTTCTAAATCTCTTATTATTTAAGTGAGAATTTGATGTTATCATTCTTTAAAAGGACATGAGTTTCCAGGGAAGGAATCCAGGGATTTAACTGCACTACTATGATTTATTGGGGTCTTTTCCTATGTTTCTAATACAACTTCTGTAGCAAGTTTATAGGGAGCATCAGGTCCCTACTCCGTAGCTTAAATTAATATTTTTGTTCATTGCAGGTTTTCCCGGGTCTTCAAGTGGCATCGCTGAATAATGTTCTTGCTCAAGGCATGAATCATAAGAAAAAACACGAAGTAGGTCATGGGCTTTACTGCCTTTAATCTTTTTCCATCCTGCTTCTCCATTTTTTCCCTATCTCCTCCTTCTCCTGAGTTTCAGGCCTGAATCTTATTTGCAAGATGGATATTTTCCATTAAATTTCTTTAGTACATGTTAATTGAAATGAATATCATATATCCTTTATTTTCTTCATTATATTTTTCTCTGGATGATGTTGTGAGATGAGCTTATAATTAGTTTTTGTATATATGTTAGTTAAATCTAACAAAAGTTCCCAGGCATTCACGCAAATCGGTGATAGGGTGTGGAATCTTTTCTTTTTCCGTTATCATGTTTAGAAGTCATTTTTCAATCTGTGTGAAATCTTTAGAATTGAATTAATTTTTATCTGTATGAACTACGTGCTTACTTCGGCAAATGTGATTACTGGCTTCAATGTGGCATTTGGAGCCTACTCACAGGGTATGTAATGTTCATGCAAACAGATCGAAGCCCTTTCTGCTGTTATCGGCTCTATTGCTAGTAGAGTTGGAGTCAACACAATAGTGGATGTTGGATCTGGTCAGGTGCGATACTTCGTGATTTTTTTGCTGGTGACGATCCTTCTTGTGCTGGAATAGTTCTAGCGTTTTTTTCTCATAGGAATTAGTAAATATTCTCACAATCATTTCGTCTAGTGATTATTTCATTTACCCTTCGTTTGGCAAAATTTATAAATCATTTACAAATGGTCGAATTTCATTTTCATCAACACATTTCAATGGACCCATAAATATTATCCACCACACTCATTTCTATCTATTTATAAATTGAAATGTTTATAGATTCTTCCCAAATGGAGGCTTAGCAAAAATTATAAGGATTAAAAGTGCACTTGAATAACAAGCTAATGTGCTTAGAAAATGGAGATCCCGCAGCTGTCTTTAGAAGTTAAATCAATTGAACTGAATCACCTGAATTGCCAGACAGAGTCCTGAGACAGAGTCGTGACCCAAAGCATTTACTGCAGTATGTAGCAACAAAGTCTTTTCGTTCGCCTTAAAGTGTGCATGCAATGGAATACTTTCTGGATTCATTTACTTAAAATAGTGAGAGACTTTGTGTTTGTGTTCTCTTGGAGTGGGAAACACAAAGCTGCAGGGAACTCATGTTTATTGAAGAAAGAAGTGACTCTTTATTCTCCAACCATTTTTTTAGATCGGTTTGCATTGGTTGTCAACAGGGCCACCTTTCTCAAGTACTTACCACTTTGGTGGCTCTATCACATGTGATTTTCTACAGGGGTACCTCGCTCAAGTTCTTTCGTTTGAATACCAGCTTTCTGTGATAGCAATAGATGCCTCTTCACATCATGGAAGGATTGCTGATGCACGTGCTGAACGAATTAAGAAGCATTATACGGCCAAGCTTTGTAAATCTCAGTACGGTTACGAGTTCTCTAAAGTAATTATTGTTGGTCTTGAATTCTTGATGCATTCTCACTTATGCATACAAAACACATCCAGTTTCATCTGGACTCTTTCATAAAAAAGGAACCCCTCACTTGGTCTTTCCACTTGTCAATTGCTTCTAAGCATCACAAGAAACTGTAATCTTTTAGTTTCGTAATTGGTTCCTCTCTCTCCACCTCTAAGTCTACTTAAATAAATTAATACTTAATATTTATATTCTTTAGAAGTGGGAGCACCTTAGCTTGAGATCTTCTTTGGTATCTTGCTTGGTATCTTTACTTGCTGAATTGCTATTTACCCTTAACCATCTTTATAGGCTATCCACATGTCTTACGGGTAATGAGTTTTCAAGCTCTTAAGTTATTTTCGCTTCTCTTTTTACATCTAGAATTACTTAAAATTACTTTTGTAAAATATTGCCTTTTATTATATTCATGACCATGTAAATAATATTTTATGACTTGAAAATGTGTATTATAACGCTTTTGTGATTCTTATCGGTCACTGCTGACAGTTTTTATCCTTTCATGATTATTGTCCAGGCTCTATAATTTGATGAGCTAATATAAAATATCCTTTATCTGCTTTTACTATGTTGTGAATGTGATTAATTTTTTGAGCGTCGTTGCATTTGGTGCTGTGCTCTGGCTTGAAATGATTTGATGTATCATATTGTTGCTTTCTCAAAATTTTTAGTATCCTGGTTGAGGGAATCCTTTTTGCGGTTTCCACTCATAGCTGACACAAGTTCTTTTGTCAGATTAGAAAGTAGAGGTTTGAGCACGCCTAAGACAGTCACATGCCGAGTGTTGTCCCCTGACATGTTGAAGACCTTGAGCAATTCCTTATTACAAAAAGATGATGAGAAGCCTAATAATAATGGAGGGAATATTGATGAAAAACCTGTTGAAGGATCCGTTGGAAATGAACTTACCTCTTCCTTGTATGCAAATGGCAAGCCCTCATTAGTTCTCGCTGGACTCCATGCCTGTGGAGATCTTTCAGTGACAATGCTGAGGTGAGAACCATATTATATTGATGTTTTGTTGCATTACGAGAATCTTCATTATCTATGTTAGCTCAATAGCTGTCTAATTTCCTAATGCTTATTACAGAAGAAGTATCAAGATTTAAAGCTCCTTCTAATTATCTATCATTTTTTTTAATGAACCCCTTGTATGCATAAACTCTTTGCTAAACCTGTAAATCAAGCCATGAAATTTCTGGTAATGATATATCCATACTTATGCCATGAAAAGGATCGTAATGACATCATTTGCATATAACTTTCTATGGAACTTGGAAGTATGTGCTAAATTATATATAACACTGACAAACTAGTAATTTGTTATATGTAGGACATTTATAGAATGCGCTGATGTTAGAGCAGTGGTTAGCATCGGTTGTTGTTACAATTTGCTATCAGAAGGCATCATAGAAGCTGATACTCAATGTGGTTTCCCAATGAGTAAAGGAGTTAAATCTGCTGGTCTATTGCTTAAGAAAAATGGGCGGGATCTTGCTTGTCAGGTTCATTTGCATTCTTCTTGATTGAAATTTATCCAGCTTGTACATGCTCAACTTTTGTGGGAAGATGAAGTTCCAAGTTCTCTAGTGTGCATTAGTTAAACTATGCTTTACCATTTTATTACAAGACCAGAAATTCAGAACAAGGTGTATTTATTTAGGTGCATTTAGCATTATTTGCATCCATTACCGTTTGCCTGATGTCTTGTTACCCAATGCTAAACTCTGATATTATGCTTATGGTTGATGTTGGAACTGTTCAGTGTTACTGTGTTATGCTGGGTTTGGCTTAACAACTTGGGTATTGGCATTTATTTCTAATTTCTTTTTTTTGTTATCTTATTCTACGTCGTTTTTAAAAGTTCTTTGCATTGACCTTTCACAAAGCATGCAGTGACCTTTTTTAATTAATTAGAGTGCAGAGAGATGGAGAGGTTTGGGAGAAGCTGCTGGCCTTCATAATTTTGAGCTTCATGCTTTTCGTGCTGCCTTTCAGATGGTACGTACCACAACATATTACTTTTTTCTCTACATTAATATATTTGCTTGTTGTTGAGAGCAGTTTTTGGTAGGTTAACCTTGGTTTACTTCAATTCATTCTTTATAAAAATTCTTCTAATTCATAAATTTCTCTTCCCTTCTTATAATCTCTCTCTTTAAAAAAGGTTCCACCTAACCAATATGTTAATCTGTCTGTAGGTTCTTTTTCAACATTACCCAGAAATAATAATAAGAAGCCCTGCAATAGGGCGTCAAGGAAAGGCTTTACGTCGCCAACATCATCGGAGGACCCTAGAGTCTAGTGCAGATATTGCTGAATCATCGTCTCTAAAGAATTGTAAGAAGGAAACAAGTTGGTCTGCCATTTCTTGTACAGAAAGTGCAGAAACAGAAGGTATTTCTAATTGTAGATCTTATCAAAATACCGTCTGAATCGATCCAAAGAAGCGAAAAAAAAAAGGAAGACAAATATTTACCCACCTCTGCTAAAATTGTTCTGCAGGAATTACACTCTTTGCGGAAAATATAAGGGCTACCTGAAAAAAAAAATTGTAGATATGATAGCGAGATATTTCTAATTTTGCCTGTAAATTTTGTCTGGGTTTTATTTTGCAGGTTCAATCTGTAATGATGCTGCCTCATTTTATGAGGATTCTTCTCATCAGAGTTCTAGAAATTGTGAGACCAATCCTACCGACAGATGTTCAATGTTCGTGAAGTTCTGCCATTCTGGACTACATCGGCTTGGTCTCCATAATTCACAGGACATTGATTTTTCTGGGTTATGGAAGCACACCGAACCATTTGCTGTAAGTTCCTCTCCTAGTTTTATTTTTCTTTCTCGTATTTTACAGTTTAACTATCTGTTTAACTTCGTTTTTCCTGTGGATCTTCTTTACCCTATATTATTTTGCTTTGCCACATTTTCTTGCTCAAAAGAGTCAGAACCATTAATAGTGTTGACTATTGTCAAGCTATTGTATATCTTAGCCATTTGTTGGTTGATGGATGATCCATTGGTTGCTCACCTGTGAGTCAGGAGTTAAAGTATTCGCATAGCTGGAAAAGATAATGAAGAACATCTATGGAACAAGATCTATTGTATATTGAGGAACAAGATTTGCACAAAATTGTGTCATTCATTGAGTGAAACTTGATTATTCTGAAATTTGGCTAGGAGCCTAGGACTACAAAGGTATTAGGGCGTGTCCATGCATGCTAGGGGCCAAATTTCATATTTCCCAGTAAATATGCTTGTCTATCGGATGGACAAAAACTTAAGTTCTACATGTAGTTTTAAATTACAATGAATTTGCTAATCGTTTGATACTATTATTTTTTGATGTCTGGTTTAATTTTAATCACACCAATTTGGGATAAGTTTCTAATTACAAAATAACAAGGTCAGAGCATAAACTGCGGGGCTCGCCAGAACACCTCACATAATGTTCCAAGTAGTAACAACCAATTGGCTCTTGGTTGTGTGTTATAGATATGTTTTAAATATGTATCTATATGTGTAAGCATGTGTGCGGTGCATGAAATACTCAGGTATCTTGGGGCTTGGTTTGACTTGGACTAATTGGGTCACAACTTATTAATGTCAGATAATTGTTCAAATTGCCTATACTTTGTATTCAAAAAAATTGAGGTCAAGGGTTCCTTTTGTATAAAATATTTGCAATATCACTCCTAGGACTGATATACTAATTCGCTGCAGGAACTGATTGGGCCTTATTGGACTCTTCGGGCTGCTCTAGGACCTGTTTTGGAAACTCTTCTTCTTCTTGATAGATTGCTGTTTCTTCAGGAGTCGAGCAATATGGTGGAGGCAGTTATGTTACCCATTTTTGATCCAGTTTTATCTCCAAGAAATGTGGCTCTAATAGCGAAGAAACTGTGAAAAAATCTTCATATTCCTATAAAATGCAAGTGATGTAGATTTCGCATTTTGATTGAGGTAATTAATTTAGTGAGTTTAAATTTTACCTTTGTAAGGAAGTGATTCCTTGAAGATTCCTTAGTTATTGCAAAAGTTAAGGAATAAAATCAGATGCTGTAGGAGCCAATAACCATCAGGTTCAACTGCCATTTTTCTGGTGGAATCTTCAACAACTTGGAGCCTTGTTTGTTAGCAATGGAGCCTCATATATGTCTATAAATAGGAGCCTTAGGTAGTGATATAAGTAGAGCTCGAAAATGAGAAAAGGGGAGCTCTGGAAAGGGAGAAGCTCCTGAAAAGGAACTCTGGACTGAGAGAATTCGGTAGAGAATTCTGAAGCTCTGAATATTGAGCTTGAGAGAGAAAGAAACTCTGTAACTCTGTAGTAGGAAGTGTAGATTGGAGAGGAACTAATATGGAAATTATTTCTACTGATTCATGTAATTGAATGTATTCTTGGTTAATAAAGAGGCTTGAGGAAGGATTTCTTCCTGTCACAAAATTCTGTGTTGCTGGTTTTTACTTTCCTGCTGTGTAGCTTCTGTTCTACTGGTGTTCTCTATCTGTTCCGAGTTTTTTTCTTCTTGCTGGTTATAATTCTGCTGTGTTGCATCTATTCTTCCTGCTGATTTTTAATAGTTGTTCGCTTACTATGCTGGTGCATAAGTGATGCCTGAGATGCTGTATTAATTTCAGAGATTAAAGGCAGACATTAAAGACCCAACAACCTTGATATGCTAGATTTTATATGTAATTAGATGTGATGCTTGGGAAACTTGCATATTGATCATCCTCCAATTCAAAATCTTTTAAGAATCCCCAAAGCTTGTTGCTGTTAATATGAATACGTAAACCTCATTAGTCTGTATGTGATTTCTCGAACACTCTTTATATTGTCAAGACAAGTTAAAACTTTTCTTTGCGGTGGCAATTTCTCTCTATCCGTGTTTCATTTATTATTGCTCGTTGATAGTACTAATGGCTAGTCATGGCAACGAGCCGAGCTGAAACTTGGACTCGGCTCGGCTCGGCTCTAGCCAAAAAGGATCGAGCTTTTTTTTGCCCGAGCCAAAAAAAGTCTCCGCCTGAGCTGGTCGAGTTTTTTTATTTTGTCAAATCGAATTTTTTTAAAAAAAAATTTAAAATTTGTACAACTTATACGTACTATAAATTAAATAAAAGTTAAAACCATCATTTATCCGGGCTTGGGACACAACTATAAATTAAATAAAAGTTAAAGCTTTAAAGATTGAAATTGAAAGTATAACACAACTAAATGTCTAAATTGAAAATCGGAGTAAAGAAATTGGAGACTGGAATACTGAATATTGAGTAAAGAAATTAGAGATAGATTGAAGTAAATTGATATGAAGTTGTAACATTTGTTTCCGTATTTATAGCCAAAAAAATATATTCGTTTTGACTATATTTAAATTTCAAAATTTGAATTTGAAACTACATTTTGAAAATTTTGACAAGCTGTGTGCAGATAGCTATTTTGAAAATTTTGTAGCTACATGCACAGCTATTTTAGCTCTACTTAATTTTATTTTTTTTTAAAAGGGGCAGCTCGTACGGTCGAAACGGCCCAGGACACGAGCCTGCCCGTGTGGCTCCCCGAGCCTGAGTCGGAGAGCTTTTTTGTCATCCCTACTAATGGCCATATAATCAGACCGCCTGAATCTGACACGTGTATTTGATATTTCCATCTAAATACTCTACAGGCATTTTTAGTTTGTAATTTGTGAAAATGTGAGGAAGCTGTGAGGATTTGGCCTGAGTATGTCCTTGATGAGCTGCCTAGCTAAGGATAGAGAATAGATAGGATAGCAAAACCTTAGTTTGCCGCTCGAACAACGGAACAGTAAGAACTCTGCTATGAAGGTGAGGGCTGGGGAGTGGGTCAAGAGCAATAGGTATGGTACATGACAATTTAATATAGGCAATATAAAACATATCCATGACAAAATAACACAGATAATAATTTCATACATACATTGTTTGAGAATCCAAGGAATATATCTTGTTTGAAACAGTTATTCAACATATTGAATACATAGTTTACTGAGACAGAGCACTTGTGCTGTAAACAAGAAGAGCACCTCCAGCAAGAATGCCAACTAGGGTCACTGCCCAGATGGCTAAACCTGTAGTTCCTGCATATACAATTGTCATATTGTTAAATTCAATTATTTTCTGTAATTATGTTTTTCTGAGTTTTTATTATTTAGTTTATATGTTACAGTTAGAGAAGCAGAATAAGCATACTTACCCCCAACATAAACATCACCACTTGGGGACCAGTCATTTGTGTCGTAAATGGGACTGTATTTGAATTGCATCGATTAGATTATTAACTTGAATTACTTTTACATAATAATTTTTATTTGAATGCTAATAACTACTCACCTGTATCCATCCACATTAGCACCATACTTGTCAACAAATTGGTAAACGCCCTTTCCCTAAATAAGATCAAACACACCGAATCACATGATATATCTACAAGTTTTTGGATATCGAAATTTGACTTCAAACTATTAGAACCGAAGACATGTTATATTGATTTCAACATTTGATTTAAATTTACTATCCACCGAAGAATTGATATGACGTGACATGTCATCGATACTTGGATGTAAAATGAGCACCTATGTATAAACCTACCTTACCCTTCCTGCCCGAGGCATCCAGACCATCCCTCAAGGCCATGCCTCCACTAATTCCTACACATAATAAATTGTAGATGAGCATGATTTATGTAGTCGACTTGTTTAAATATAATATAACTTTCTATGTTTGTCTCATCATGCTACGTGTCTATTTTTTAAGATACGAAGAAGAAAAACTAACCATAAGGCTTATCGGTCTTGATCTTCTTGCCACTTGCCTCGACTCTCAAAGAGGAGGTTCTTGCGAGAGACGGGAGGCCGCGCACGGCGGTTCTCTCGACGGAAAAGGGAGAGGGTTTGAGGTTTAGTGAACTCATGACAGTGGTTGCCATCTGCTACTTCTCTTTGCCTTCCAGTAGTTTATGGTTTCTTTCACAGCAATGCAAGGTTGATGATAATACTGTGATATTGTGAAATTTGTGATTTGCAAGCTGACACGCGGCCTTGGTCTAGTGGATCTGTGGATGAGTTATGGATAGGATATTACAACATTATCAAATTGCAGCCTCTCTTTTTAAGGTTTAACCATTTCTGTGTTGGAAACTTGTTTCCCATTATCCTCTTGCAGGACACGTGTAGAATTACTATTGGTCGTAAAGGAAAGTAGTACCTCTTTACTAATAAAAAACATAACATGTCGAATTATAAAATGTGTTTGAGCCACATTATTTTGAAAGAATGTATTTTGGAATAGTAGATTAATGGAGAATGTGTAGTTGAAAAAAATGAAAAAATTATTGAAAAAATTATTTTATTGAAAAATATGTGATTGAAAATGAGTAAAATAATGATAATGAAAATTTTAATATGGCTCAAACATGGACACAATATTATAGTTTCAGGAAAATGATCTATAAATAGATTAATAATTCCCTGAAAATAGTTGGCCGATTATTGCTGACCACTTATACCTAATCTACTTCGATTAGAGGTGTGAGGTGAGTTGCGCTATATTTTAGTTGTTCGATCAACCCTGGTTATTCTCTTTGTGTTTCAGTTTTGTATTTTGAGTTTTGAATTCATTTTAGGTTTTGTGTTTTGAGTGTCCATTTTGAGATTGTTGAAAATGTATTCTTTTTGGCATTTTGAAAAATTGTTTTGAAAACACCCAAAACGCGTTTTGAAAATTTTGACTTGATTATAACTGAAAACACTCAAAACGACAATTTGTCGTTTTGGGTTTTTTTGTAAATTTAAAAGTTAGGGGTTGTTCTCTTTGTATTTTAGTTTCGTGTTTTCAGTTTTGAATTCATTTTGAGTTTTGTATTTTGAATGTCCATTTTGAGATTGTTGAAAATGTGTTCTTTTTGACATTTTGAAAAATTATTTTGAAAACACCTAAAACGCGTTTTGAAAATTTTGATTTGATTATAATAGAAAACACCCAATTTATCATTTTGAGTTTTCTTCATAAATTTTTAATTAGTTTTCAAAAATGGGAAAGGGAACGCGTTTTCACTATTTTGAAAAATCGAAAATAGAAAACGGTTTGAAAATGGTAAAGAGAACGTGCCCTAATGTTTTGAACGCTACAGGCCAGTCACAACGTACCAACAGCCCGGCATGACTCTTGCTGTGATGTCGGAGACTCAAATGAATCGTACTTTAATGGAGAAATATCCTAAAAATTAGGGGCCTTTAGAAAAGTAAGATGAATAGTATTTACAAAGTGAAAAATATGGTAAAAATCGTTAGTCTTTTCATTAAAGTTAATGCTGTGCAACTTCTTTTATAAAAAAGACATGTTGCATTTTTTATAAAAGATACTCTAATAAGTAATAATATTTATTTTGACTTATTCTGGCCAAGCTCAAAATGTGATTATTTCATTACTTAATTCTAACAATTATGTTAACTTTTCATTATTTCTTAGGAACACCCGAATACTATCTACTTATTCCTCACTTATTTTTATCACATTATAATTTCAACAACTTATAATTTTGATTCTGAGACCAAATACTATAGCAATTGCACAAATGAATATAGCTCTGGCCTCTTTGGGCATAAGAAGAGGACGATGAGATTAAAATCCCTGTCGTTTTTATTCTCGTCTCGATCATCAAGATAACACTCAATGCCGAGGCCCAAGCAGTTAACAATATCCATTCTCTTGTAGATGAACTAATAACCAAGAAACCTGACTATCATTCTTCCAATTCCAGCATAAGGAGACTTTTTAAATAAACTTTATTGCAGATAATTACCACAAAATGCACATTGATAATGTGTATTTTGTTTTGCTTCACCAGGAACTAAGCATTTCAGTGAACTTTGAAGCTGCAGCAATGCCACTACATATTGCACCCTCGACATTTGGACTAACACAAAAATCTCCACAAATCGCTAACCTCTTCTTACCGTCCCAAAAGCATTTCTCCTCCCTCGTAATGATGGAAGCTGGAAAAGCACTCCCCCTGAAAAATCATACGTATCCAAATGAGAGACATTTTCAGAAATATATATTACGAGAGGTCCCTTAGAATGAGAACACTTTTAGGACTCAAATTGTGTTCATGTCAAATTCTCAAGAGACAAGAGTTGCTCATTTATGCCAAATACCATTTCAGGTTTTAGTTTTGCATGAGTTATTAAACAAAAAAGTTCAGCACGTGAACGTAGCCACCTTCTCTTTGCTATGTAATTTCTAGTGCTGAGGAGCAGAAACAGAGTTCATCAATAAGTACTTGCTGGAAGAGGCCACTAATCTAAAAGTGGAATTCAGTTTATTCACTAACATGAGACAAACTTTCAGATAATAGTGAACTCCATATACTGTACATGGCTCATACAACTATAACTTTTAATGTTCTTTGTACACGTTTTTAGCTACTGTTGAATAAATGTTAACTGGTAAAATGAAATCGTTGTGTCCTAGACATGTGTATTGCCAGCAAAAGGCCATATAGAATTTTACAGGATTTATTAGAAGCACAATTGATGTTACAGGCATGCAGCTTTGAATAACTTAACAGGACAACAGAAGCAAAAGAAAAGAACACAATGAATCCAAAAATCGTAAGAAATATACCAAAAGTTTAGCTCCAAACATGAGCAAGTAACAATTGCCAGTCACATATTAATTTGCTTATTGAAACTCGTACTGTCAATTCTGACTTTGAATATTTGATAGCTAAGGTCGATTCCACCTAGTACCTCCATTCATCAATTCAGACACGTTCATCCGAAAATAGGTCCTTACAATACAAGCCATACGCTCATCTAGACATGACATTGATCTGAATATCTCAGCCACAACACATTCTTGGTAAACCTAGACGTTTATGAACTAGAAAAGAGTTGGGTTTATCTTTTCCCTCTTGTTTTCCGTCTTTTTTTTAAATATATTTTCTTCAGAAGGAAAACATTCCTTGTTTCAGATAATCATCATGCTAAAACCAAAAATAGCCAGAAATAACCAGAGAATATTTAATACCAACCATCTATGGGCTTTCTTGAAAAATGGCTGTGAAATATCAAGCCCAGTGCTTTGGAATTCCTGAAACAGTTCCTCTGCTACTTTCGTTAATACTGTAGTAGAAGGCTTCTGAAGTCCTGTTTGGGCAATAATACGCTCTGCATATTCTGCTGTAGAATACAGCACCCAGCGTTCGCTACACAAGAATGGAGAAAGGAGCATCATGCTATGAACGTGTTTTAAATGGATAAGCAATCTCCAGTTTTCAAAATCTCATAGAACACTGCTATTGCTAAATAAACACATACCTAGTGGTCGAACGTCCCGGCTTGCTGCTGTCACAATAAGCCCAGCTTAGAACTTCAGAGTTCTTGAATGAAAAGCCTTTCAGTGGTATCTGAAATGAAAAGATTTTTCAATCAGGAAACATCAAAAGTAGACACTATTAACTAATTTGGGAAGTCTGGTAAAAAGATCTCACAAGTAATAAATGGTGTACAAATACAAACTTACTGATGACAAAGGCTGTTCAAATGCCAACATAAGAGCGAAGCACGAAATAACTGGAATTTCTTTCAACTTCAAGGCCACATCTGAAACCATGTTCAGATCTGAATGGAGAAAGTCACACGACGTAAGTAGTAATGATTGTGATGCAGTCAGTGATAGATATAAAATTGAGAGTATCAACATTCCCTGACTAACAAAAAGAGGAAATGAAAACACAACTCGACTCAGAGACGCTAGACAAGGTAACGAAGAAAGACTATATACCAATAGGTGGTGGTCGTCCTGTGACGTTCGTAAACCTGGAGGAAAATGCATTTTTGTCTGAGGCAACCACCCCCTTAAATTTACCAAGTTCTTGTCCATCTAAACCCATCAAGGACCAAGAATCATCATCATCAAGCCACTCCAACCTCCCAATACTTAGCCCAAACCTGCTTTCCACCCCTGAAAGAGAAGTATATTAGGCAAACATCCAATGTTTAGGATGAATGATTGGCATTGATAAATACTGCTCAAAAACTGAAACTAATAAATAACATCAGTTGCATACCAGCCTCGTGGCACAATGCTCTGCAGATAGAATTCATCCCAGGAACACCGACATATTTCTTGTTTACTCCTTTCTAATTTCAATTAAACTTCAGTAGTCAGTCAGCTTGATATATGATGATTCTTTGATATATAGAGTAAGGACCGCATGTGATTCAGCTAGGGGTCAATTACAACAATAATGATAGATAGGCAGGTGCTCAAATATAACAAACTAGTGAGCCTATCAAGCAAAAAGATAAAAGTAGTCTATTAGGTAGTCTAACTTTTGACATGATTAGAACTAGTCAAAATGTAAAATGACTAGAACTAGCAGTTGAATGCCTACGTATACTCATCAGCATTTGAAGCTGTTGTGTTCTAATTTGATGCATTTAATAGCCTCAATAAAGAAGAAAAGGGATTGCATCAGTTAAGAAACTTCAAAACAAAGAACCTTCTAGGCAAATAATGATAAAGTGAACAGCTATATCATTCCCCCATTTGAGTAAATTGAATTTATACACAACAGTAAGGTGTAGATAACAAAATAAATAGTGGTAGTCAATTTTTGAGAGTGAAGATTATTGATTAACCTCTTCAATTTTGAGGAACTTTTTGGCACCGCAATCAAATGAACCGAACTTCTCTTTCCACTCAGCCACAAGCCCTCTTGATTCCCAATCGTAGACTAGGCTCTGCACCTCAGAGTTGCTAGCATTCAACGAGAAACATGGCGCGCCATGGTCGAATAATAGCTCCCTCCCATCTTCGGCAATTTCTCTGAAAAATCCTTTCAGAAAGTAAATAAAAATTCTTCAAAATGTAAGTATCAATGGTGACAGTAAAAATACCTGCGCTGAGACATCCGGCCCCCGGGTCCTCTAGCGGACTCGAAAATGGTGACTGAAATTCCGTTTTTTGCCAGAATCGATGCACACACTGTTCCTGAAACTGGGAATTTGAAGATACACAAGCTCAGTACATGATAAATTAATTAATATTCAATTTAATTATAACAGTTTGATTATTTTATTATAAATATGCTGATCGTTTATATTTTAAAAAAAGAGAAGAAGCTTCAAGTAGTCATTGCCGCAGGCCGCTTACTCCCGCTGCCTATGATGGCGACTTTGGAAGCGACGCTTGACATGGCGGCGAGTATGCTTGATTCCTCGTTCAGTTCATAGTAATTTCCAGGATTGAACACAAGGAATGTGGATTGGGTACATAGGTAATCCGGGATTGGGATTTATCTAATTACTCTTCCCAAGCGGAGTTTTTTCAATTATTAACTGCTCTGGAGAACAGGAAGATTATCCAAGCCATTTTTCCAAATTTATAAGTAGTAGTAATTTTTTTTTTTTTTTTTTGGGTGAATTTGTAGTTAAAAATGAAATAAAAGTTTTCAGATTTAAATATTATTTTATTGAAAAATATTTTATTTAAAATGAAAAGAGAGAAAAACAAATTTTAATTTATTGAAACCAAACCGGAAGCAAATAATTACGGAAACAAATTGCGAATTCTCAAGTTAATTGTTCCATCGGTCACTGAACTTATGTTTATATCTTCGATCACTCGTTGAGATTTAAAATACCGAATTTTGACCACTAAACTTTGGAAAACATACGTTACTCACTAGCATAACTTCCGTCTCAAACCTCTAATAAAATTGATGACGTGGTTGACGGAATGCACATGTGGCCTCTCGCAAGGGCGGACGCAGACTTTCGAAACTAGGGGGGCACAATCTAACTTTCAGATTTTTTTGGGAGGGAGAAGAGGAGAAACGGGAACGGGGATGAATTTTGGAGACGGAAGAGAACTGAGAAGAAAGGCAACTCAGGGGGTTGGGCTGCAAAATTCACCTAATCTCAACCAAAATTCACCCACGTCCATCACGCAGACAACTTTCACCAAAACTACCGCAAACAACCCCCACACCAAACCAAAACCACAGTCCTCACCTAATCAAACCACAACCACATTCCCAATTTCTTTTTTCATATTAATTGAACATTGATTAATAAATAATAAGTAATAACACAAAATATATAAACCTCATTGATTTCACACAACACCAAAAGGCAGTAAAGTAATTGAAACACAAACCTCATAAACCATTAAAAAATTCTCAAACAGAGAAAACCACCAAAATTCAATCTCCTACTACTTATAAATTATATACTTTCAAATTTTCCAAGTAATTGAAACTGTGAGAT